ATATTTTTGCCGCTTCACAATTGTTGTCCTATTGAGATGTGGCTGAAGCAGCAGTTCATAAAACTGCTTTAAGTTCATTTTTGTTGGCGGCATGATTAAGATCAGCATGTGTTTAATGGACTAAGCTTACTTTCTTTACAGTATATGTTCCTGGACAGAAACGTGGTGAATGTTCGGGGTATTCTTTTAGTCAAGCCCGTATAGAAATTGAATTGAATTTTAAAAAATCGCAGGGGTAGAAATATTACCAACATTTTATTATCTAGTTAGTTTTTGATAAGGTGAGTGCATTATTTTAGATATAGCCTACTTAATTTACATTCATGTGCAATTACATATAAATGATATGTTACAGGATATATGTGTGGAAACAGTACTGCGGTTATTATTTTCTTCAGATTTATCCCATTGCATTCATTCAAGTATGAGTAAAATTAAACAAGCTCGGTGTAGCATCTTTAAATATCATTCACAGTATGATTGCATTGATGTTTATTTTATTTTTAATTCAGTAATAATATATTGAGATATGGATATCTGATATGGATATCTTTCTTTAAAAAAAAACAAAAAGAAAGCAATTAGTCAAATGACATAAAATCATCTGAGTGCAAAATCTTGACCAATGTTAATAAATTACTACTAAATGACATAACCTGCTTTCACATCTCAGCTTATGAAATTGTGTACTTTTTTATCGGATGTTTTAAAGTATGATCCACAGCCGCAGCAGACTCACTTTCTGTGTTGTCTTGTTCTTGATGGACTCTTATAGCCTTTCATTATTATGTTTCACTGCGTGCAGATTTACAAGCATGTAATAGATTCTCAGTCAAATCAGCCGTTACCGTCAAGGAGAAGTGATTGTAAAACAATGTACAAAGGTACAATGTAAAAACAGGGCACGGTGTGCTTTATATTCATATTGAGTTTTAAAGGTGTTTTACTTGTATTTGGAGTTGTTTTGCATTGTCTGTGAAATTACTGGATAATGTCCTGGCGGAAAATGTCCATTACACTCTTAAAAATAAAGGTGCTTAAAAGGTTCTTCACAGAGAACGGTATACTACCGTAAAATTAATGTCCAATACATGTAATGTCCAATACAGTTTTTCACCGTATATAATAGGGGAATTTACCGTTAACCATTTAACAGGTTTTTACTGTAGCATTTTTACAGTCTTTTACCGTTAAATTCACGGTCATTTTTTACAGTGTATGGAAGGAGTTTCTCTTTGCTGCTGTAACTCATAATCATTTCTTTTAGGATTTTTACTAATTTTAATAACCTTTTAGCTTGTTTGCAGTTTTGCACATATAATGAATATTAATTAAAGGCATAGTTCATTCTGTCCTTACTTACTCATCCACAAGTTGTCTCAAACCTGTATGCGTTTCTTTCTTCCACAAAAGAGGATATTTTGAACAAGCACAAAATACTACCAACATTCTTCAAAATATCTTCTTCTACAGAATAAAGAAACTCATACAGGTTTGGAACAACTTGAAGATGAGTAAACGATGACAGGATTTTCATTTTTGGATGACCTTTCCCTTTAATTTCATAGCGACATCATGCCAACCTCCCATCCAAAAAAAAAAAAAAAAACACCCTGTGCTACTGAACTGTGTTGGTTTTCCCTCCTTATCCATCAGGATTCCCTCCTCAGTCCCTAGTTTCCCTCTCCTGTGCTGTTTTTTCCCCTCCCTTCGGGCTCTGCAGCAGGCCGGGGTGTTTGAGCGGAGGCTGTAGCGGGAGCTTGTGATGCCTTAATTAGACAGAAAAGCCAAGCCTGGAACATGCCACCTGCTCCTGCCTCCCATCTGGGGCGCACACGCTGGGAAACAGAGAGCAGGAGACAGGGATGGAGAGATGGACACACGGCGACTCACAAAGTCTAACGCCAAAACCAAAATAAATAATGTAGTCTTATTATTTCCATATAAGAAAGAAGAAATTATATTATGCATTAAAAAGGCAGCCTATTTTAGGAGCATTAGGATTGTTATAAGACATTTAAGCGCATTTCCCCCTATTCTCATTATCTGAACATTATCCTTTTTTTGTCATTTCCGTTATTTTAAATCGTGATTCTCATTTGATTCTTATTACTGTAATATAGTTTTTTTTTTATGTGATAATAAAAATAATTAAAACAACATAAATTAAAGTGCTGTGTGTGTGCACATTAAATGAGAAATTAAATGCATTAAAAATGCAAAATGCAACAAAATCATTATTGTATTATATATATATATATATATATATATATATATATATATAT